GGAAGAAGTGGGTTAGAATGCATATGATATGCCAACATATTCGTTCAAGAAGCAAGTGAAAATAACGACAGCTACGATGACATTACATAACTACATAAGTCGTCATCCCTCTTCGATGATCCAAAATTAATATTTGTGATACAGATCAATCTATATACTACCAAAAGCTTATGAGTATCAAATTGAGCATTCATTGGTAGATCAACAAGAAAATGTACCAAATTATGAGATACGGAATGGCAAAGGTACAAAGATGATAAAATAACCAGAAGAAATCGCAACTGTGTTGGTTAATGAGATGATTGGATATCACTTTTAACAATCATTTCTATAAAGTATTCCGTAATCTTTTATAATAGATTGATTGGTATCTCAGCAGAATTAGTTTTTTTACAGCTTTTTGAACATTCTAGAAAAAAGAAGATGGTATTTTTATTTGTTTAATGTTGTTTAGCAACCATAGATTTTAATCTCCCAAACACTACTCCTTTCATTATTACCATTTTCATAACAGAAAAGCATCATAGAAAAATTACCTTAAAGGCTATGAGTGTAAAATTCATCTCCCTAAGAACCGCCATCTTCACTTTATAGAATAATAAGGAAGCAAAAATTAGAGCGGCCCCACTACGCACATAGATCTATACGCAAATTTTGTTATTTTTAAGAACAAATATCCTTGTTATGAAGTTTACTTCAAGTTATTCTAATTATTTTAAAGTATGACAATATATTATTAATCAAAATATATAGCACACGTACATTGACAAATGATAAAATCTTTGCACAAACCATCCAAGTGCAAAAAAATATATAGGTGAGAGCCTATTAATGTATTTATTTTTTAATATTTTAGGACTTTTTTTTCAATGTATATGAGGGTATCAATATAATTTGATTTTATACCTCTGTAGCACAGCAGTTGGATAGTTATAATCTCCAAACAAAATATCCTACTTTATCTACAACAACTTCAAAAAACAACTTTCTCCACGACACAATCGACTTTATCAATAACCCCAACAATCCCAAATGAACCCTTAATTTAAAAAAAAAAGTCACCTACCCTGTACTAATATTATTGATGATGATGATGATTTTTTCCCTAGCTCACAAGGGATTTCACATTCATCACCTCATTTCCAAGATAAATTTATCATTCATCTCTATTCTTTGAGATTAAGTTCACTAGTTCTATGGTACAATCAAGCAACTTTAGTTCTCCAATAACCTTTAAACTCTTTAAAGTAGATTTCTTTAAAATCCAAGGCAATTAGAGGGTGAGATGCTTGCTTCTACTTATTAGTAATAAGTACTATTTGTGTTACTATAATCACTTAAGTAAGCTATATCACTTCATTTATCTATATTTATTATTTTGTAAGATAATAAATGTAAAATGATTGTTTGTTATTTTGGATATTGATAGGAAATACTTGAGTTCGCAAGTAACCCTAATGGGAAATACTTGAGTTCTCAAGCAAACCTAACAATAATTGGTGAAATCAGCGAGAAAACTTCAAAATTTCCAATGAAAATAATCAAAAAATAGTAGATTGTATTATAGGAATCAAATCAAAAGAAAGAACAAACAAAGATACAATTGATCCTCAATTCGAGAGGATCGTTCTCTCCCAATATCTAGATGATGAATCTTCCGCCTCTATCTCCGTGAGTCGGTCTTGTATGGACCGACTGGATCGATCTAATAATACTCCCCTCCCAAAGACTCACCTTGTTCGCAAGGTGGAAAGACGACCCCCTTCTCCATTCCCTTTTAATCACAAACGGTAAGAACCAGAAGAGTTCGGTCCTTACACCTGTGCCCCGACATATACCTCTCATCACATCTGAAACAGAGCTCCTTCGCCCTTTTCTCCTATAATTTCGTTTGTGAACTTTTTGAAGTTGTCCTCAAGTCTTCTTCCTACAGTCTTCTCCATCGAAGTTTCCCAACAAGTATCCGGTGTTAGCTCCTTGGGTGCCAAAAGGTGATCGTCCTGTACGAGCCTCCTGAGCTGCTGCCTCCCGTTCCTCTCTCTCCAGATGCCTCTGATCCTCAATCAACTGAGCTAGCTCCATAGCCTCTCCCAAGTCACGAGGCCTCATCACTCTAATCGTTGCGCGGGTTTTTGGTTTCAATCCCTTCATAAAGTTTCCCACCAGTACAGTCTCTGGAAGCCGATCCAGTCAACTAGCAAGGTACTTAAATTGCTCACGATACTTCACCATTGTCCCCTTTTGCATCAAAGCAAAGAACTGCTCATAGAGGTCCCCTTCCTTGTTGGTTTGGAAACGTCCAACAAGTAGTCCTTAAACTCCCTCCAGGTCCGTATCAACTACATCGTATCCCTCCACTAGTATCATGCTAACGCTTTCCTTTCCAAGCACATCCCGGCTGCCGTCAATCTCTCCCCCTCCGTTAGCCTTTTGACGGTAAAGTAAATTTCTACCTTATAGATCCACCCATGGGCATCCTCTCCCTCCAAAATAAGCATCTTCAGCTTCCTCATCCTCAGATCGCCTCCGTTCCCTTCATAATTTCTCATTCCCCAAGGGAGTGGTTCCCCCCAAGTGTCCCAATCATCCCTTTTACGTTCATACCCAAACCTTCCACATTCTCCTTTCAAATTTAGCACCTCTTGGATCACAACAAACTGCTCCCCTTTCAAATTCAGCCATCCTTTGGTCAAAATTACCCCTTTCCCTTTCAAATCCCGCCTCTCTCCTCTCCAATTAGCACCTCTTCGATCCTTCTCTATCTCCTCCCGGCTCTCCTCATAGCCTCTACCCAACTCCGCCCTAGGAATAGGCCCTAGGAGAGGCATTTTTTCTGTTCCCTCAAAAATATCCACCTCTTGATCTTCCCTTCGTCTGATGGGAGTTTTCCCCACTTTCCTAGATGTTGGCGCCTTCCGTCACCTACAACGTCGATATTTTGGTTTGGCCTTCGAGCACTTTCTTCAACATCTCCCCAAGGATGGAAAAATTCAAATCAGTCTTCTCATGGATGACTGAAATATCTCTCCTTAAATCTGAAACTTAAGTTTGGAGATCTAAAATTTCAAATTTCAATTGTCTAATCTCCCCTTCCAACACTTCTACATTTTTCCCTTGCCATGGGTACCCGGATCTATGCTCCAAACAGCAAAAACAGTAAAAAAAATAGCGATTCTGATCTTCAAACAGCAAAAAAAGCAAGAATTAGCGAGGAGACTTCTATTTTTGTCCAGGAAATTGCTCTGATACCAATTTAATAGGAAGCACTTGTAGATCTCAAGTAATTCCTATCTAGCTTTGGAAAACAACACAAATTCTCCGCAATAATCCACACAAAATCAAGAAAACAGTAGATAATTTGTATTATTTGATGAAACGAAAACGAAAAATACCAAGGTACAAATGATCCTCTATTCGAGAGGAGGATCTATCTCTCTCAAATCTCTAGACACGCTAGAGCCCAAAAAACCCAAGAGATGTTAAATTTAAGCCAAATTCAAGATTTCCTAACCCTAGCAAAACATACTTCTTAATACATAAATTTCAAAAGAAAATCTCTAAACAACCCCTACTTTAAAATTTCTCTCATAACTCCCTCAAAAATCCTTCCTAAACTGCTCTGTTGGTTCCTGTGGTTCGAGCGGCGTACAAAAGAGGCGGAATTCTTCTGCCTCTATCTCCGTGAGCCAAATCTGTATGGAGTCAAACACTTTCATCTTTTGTGGCTCTCATTCATCTATCCAATCTCATCTTCTCTTTCGATCTTTGATTCAGGGTTCTTCTTTCTTTCGACAATCAAGAGGAAAATGCCCATCAAGACCTTCTCTTCCATCCCTACTTATCATTAACAAGCCTTGCAAATGCTTAAAAGATCTTTCTTCTAATAATTCATGCAAACACAACAAGGTATGGATTCCAGGTAAATTGAACTATTTTCATAATGTATATAAATCGCCACTAGAAGGATCCATTACGTATTAATGTCTCGCCTATGAAGCACAGACACTGACACGGCGACACGGATACGACACGACACGGACACGGGTCACATCAATTATTGAAAACATAGGACACGGACACGGGTTGGACACGGTATTATAATTTTTATATTTTAAAAAGTGTATAAAATTTCAATAAGTATAATTTTAAAAATAATTTAAAAAATAATAAATCATTTAACTAGAATTTGTGCTTAAAATGATTAGTATCAGGATGTCGAGAGTCATGCATCGATGTCGTTTATCAATCACCGAGAGAGGAGATGAAAATACCTTCACTGCCAAAGAGAAATGAAAATGAGAATATTCGATGAATGTGTATTAAGTGCGGATGTTGATTTGGTGTTGTGCATAGAAAATAAGTAATTTAGTTTAAATCTCGCCAAATACAAGAAATTATATTTTTTAAAAATTCATAAAATATTTAAGATACGTGTGTCTGACACGCATGTCCAATTTGTATTTAATATTTTTTTAATCGGACACGTTTTCGGCGTGTCTGACTCGTGTCGGAGGACTGTCTGACGAGTGTCGTGTCGGATAAGGTGTGGACACTGCACGCCTCTTCGAGGAGAAGTGTCGGTGCATCATAGTGTCTCACTTACGACAAATACAGAATATAGGCACGATCTAGCAGTCTAATATTTATTGGATTTTTCTGTGGTATCGCTTTGCTTGTTTGCAGTGCTACGCCCCTATGCCACAAAACCTGTGTAGAGCACCTGGAAGCAAAGAAACCTGTGAAATGGCTCCCAAATAAAATGGGAACATTCCCGATTATCACTTTAACATCACAGTAACTACACAAACATATTGAACTGCAATGATACAGCCTAAAACAATACAGATGGAGGGTTTTAATTAGGCAGATTTTGATAAGATTCTGAGCCAATCGTAGGACTTCATGGCAAATGTGACAAATTTTTGGGTTTAAAAGGTCAAATTTCTTTTTAAAAAAAAGGACAGCATCCAAGAGAAACTATTTAGGAAAAACAATCTTACAGAATACAAATATTCAACAGCTCTCTCTGGGTTATTGAATGCTGCACGCAAAGCGCGAACAACAGTGTCTCTATCCCAAGTCCCTCCACCAATATCAAGAATCTGTTGGATGGATTGTTCCAAATTTTTGCCAGCAACGAGGTTTGATGCAGCTTGATCATATGCATCCGCTGTGCTACTGCTTCAACAAAATTAAGAAGATAAAAAACTAATAAATAATAAATTAATGGCATGTCTATCATAACAAGGTCAACACCAAACAAGGCCGGCTAGACGAGTAGAACAACCCCAATAAAGTCAATTAAACAATATAGTACAATTCTAACAGCTATGATCGAGAAAGAAAAATATGTTACCTACAAATGAAATAGCTAGAAATGACAATGAAGCCAAAAAAAAAATTTACATCAGACCCCATACATAAATATTTCTTGACAAACACTATAACTTCAATGTTCCTCTGAAAGGATCATGGCATCAGTAGTGTCACCATCTAATACAGAAAAAAAGTGCATGGAAAACATTTAGCAAAAAAACTTCTATAAAACTAGAATAACAGCTGCAAATCGATAAACTTTGTTATGTTTGAGAAGAGGGCTTAGCCCATATGAAAATTTAAAAGTTTACCCAAGGTAAATAACAAATCACCATAATAATATTGAAAGAAATAACAGTGATGAACAAAAGAACTGTAGTACAAATAATAGATTACAAATAGAAGGATTTTTTACTAGCTTTTTACATTTTGCAAAGTGAATAAGATAGCGACTAAAAGTAAATAGAAAATGCAAGATGCAATGCCTAACGAACAAATACTGCACGAATAATCCATTCAACTAATATTTTCAAACATCAAGCTGCAGTTACGGAATGATCACTGAAGAGGTAAGATAGATATTGGTCTTTTGCACACATTAGCCGTAATATTAAAGGGCAAATAATAAGATATAAATATTATGATGTTCAAAAGATGAGTAAATGCTTAACATACAGACGTTGTAACATTTAAATACTTGATGGATTGGCATCAGTTGAAGAGCCAAAAATCTTACGATGCAGGAACTGCAAGAGCAGGTGCAGCTGTGGCAGCAGGAACTGTTGACCCCCTGGTATAAAATAGTACGTGAATTTGTAAGTTTTAGAGTAAAGAAAGAAAAATAAATAGTTAAAATAATAATAATAATAATAATAATAAATGGTTCAGCGCCCATGAGGAATGTGAAGAACATTGTTAGTAGAAAACATATAGCAAAACAAAATAAACACAAATGAATATGTAAATTCTGAAAACATACAAGGTTGGGGCCGCAATTGCAGTATGTGCTTGTGGCATAGCTGCAGGATTAGCAGATGCAGAAGTAGCAGGCGGAGGCTAGAAAGACAAGTCATTATAGTTATTCATGATTTCTAATTCATTAAAAGCATCATGCAAGCAAATTGTAGAAATAACAGAATTATTAATAAGCTTAATGAGCAAATCAACAAAAACTCAAGACTTGACTAAAAATAAAAGAATTGCAGCCAGTGGTTTTCTCTTTGCAATAAAAAAATTGAAAAAAAATACAGGAATTGTTATGATGCCAGCAATTATGAAAAGGAAGGCCTCACAATTTTTTTGAACTGCACAACCAAAAATTACAAACAGATCCTGCTGCCATAAGCAAGATGCAAGTTTCGAAACCCAATTATCCAATCGGGGAAAGAAATAATTCTAATAAACAATAAGCATAAAATACTCGAACCATAACAAAAGTTCACATTTTCACATATTGAGATGAAAATCTCAGTAATCAAGCACACAAATTTGCATAGGGCGTTATGGTCAGTAACACCAAACCAACACCTAAACAAGCTTTCCTCCTAATAAAAAGGGCAACTCTACATTCTATGGATCTGCAAGCTCCGATCAAACCACAAGGTTGTGAAGCAAAAGAAGGCTTGAATGCCCTCCTTTTGGGCATGATCCCGCACAAACAACCGCCCACACCGGCTCGTATCCTATTTCCACCCACGCAATCGATCTAACTAAGACGGTTCATTTCACAGGGTCACATCGGGAACCCTGTTAACGCAATTACTCTGACCTAACTAGCTCAACAATCTAGAAAGACACTACGAATGGGCCTTAGTACCAACAAAAGAATGCACCCCAGTTCTCCATAAGCATATCTTCTTTCTTTCCAGGGAGGCATATGCTAGGAGCAAAGTAAGGAATGAGAAAAGGAGCTAAACGTACAACAACAACATCAAGCCTTTATCCCACTACGTGGGGTCGGCTACATGAATCCTTTTTCTCCAAGAAAAGGAGCTAAAAGTGAATATACAAAATCAGATGGAAAGATCTCAACCTTTGAAGTTGAAAGTTGGAAATAAAAAAATATATATATCTAAAAGAATGTCCGAGAGAAGACTTTTGTAATCTAATAGTTGTTATTTTGACCTTTCCAACATTCTCGCACTCTCCTTTCGGATACAAATAATGCTATTGTGAGAAAATGTACCTTCTGATACATGATAAAATATAAAAGCATGTACTCATTATTACTAATATGATTTCTCTCTATTCTTCCTGCGACCATGATGCTATCCTCACTTCCCTCCACCTTATCATCGATAGTCTGCTAAATTTTAAACAAAATGGTGGCAATTAAGTATGATGGCTGCACTTGGTTGAGACCATTAGCAAACAACCACCAGCTGAGGCCCTGAATGCAACCTCAACATTAGAGCTAGTTTACTATAATTTTTAATGAAATTTAGAAACGTGGACTTTAAACAATAAATATAGACTAAATATCCACACAATCAGAAGCCAAAAAGTCCATACCACATTATTCACGCCATAACAATTTCCTTAATCAATAATATTGCAATACCTTAGCTAAGATTGGCTTTGAATAATTTACCCTCTCCCGTACAGTTATCCTAATCCATCCCAAAACTCTCATGTCTAATTTGTTATCCCATGTCCCATAGCTTACATACAAAGCTTAATTGTAAATCTAGCTTATTATTGCCTTTGAGGCAAAATATAACTTAATATACCCCCATTTTTCTTTCAAAATATTCCTTGGAAACTCAAATTTTAAATTTTAAAAATATAATGGTGGCAATTAAGTATGATGGCTGCACTTGGTTGAGACCATTATCAAACAACCACCAGCCTGAATAACCTCAACATTAGAGCTAGTTTACTATAATTTTTAATAAAATTTAGAAACGTGGACTTTAAACAATAAATAAAGACTAAATACCCACACAATCAGAAGCCAAAAAGTCCATAACACATTATTCACGCCATAACAATTTCCTTAATCAATAATATTGCAATACCTTAGCTAAGATTGGCTTTGAATAATTTACCCTCTCCCGTACAGTTATCCTAATCCATCCCAAAACTCTCATGTCTAATTTGTTATCCCATGTCCCATAGCTTACATCCAAAGCTTAATTGTAAATCTAGCTTATTATTGCCTTTGAGGCAAAATATAAATTAATATACCCCCAATTTTCTTTCAAAATATTCCTTGGAAACTCAAATTTTAAATTTTAAAAATATAATGGTGGCAATTAAGTATGATGGCTGCACTTGGTTGAGACCATTAGCAAACAACCACCAGCCTGAATGCAACATCAACATTAGAGCTAGTTTACTATATTTTTTTATGAAATTTAGAAACGTGGACTTTAAACAATAAATAAAGATTAAATACCCACACAATCAGAAGCCAAAAAGTCCATACCACATTATTCACGCCAAAACAATTTCCTTAATCAATAATATTGCAATACCTTAGCTAAGATTGGCTTTGAATAATTTATCCTCTCCCGTATAGTTATCCTAATCCATCCCAAAACTCTCATGTCTAATTTGTTATCCCATGTCCCATAGCTTACATCCAAAGCTTAATTGTAAATCTAGCTTATTATTTCCTTTGAGGCAAAATATAAATTAATATACCCCCATTTTTCTTTCAAAATATTCCTTGGAAACTCAAAAGCTTCTAACATGATAATAATTATTTTCATCCCAACTATTTGGTGCAGATTTAGGAATCCTTGGTGCTCATTCATTCATGTTAAGTGCTACTTGAGGTATACATTTTCTACAAACCTTTTTGCACTTCTATCCATGCAAACTTTAATCCACCTCTCTTTGGATGACACTTCAGGATCAGTTTGTCTACCCATGTAAGAGGCAGATACTCTATCTTCTTTGCATATGCCCAAACCACTGAAGGATTTATTTAGTTCACTGCTATATAGAAAACAGTGTTATTCAGATAACACTATGTTCTAAGAAATGCAATGTGTTTAATTCAATGTAATCTTACTTAAAAGCAATCCACGGTGACTCTGACATTTTTTTATCTTATTATAAAGATTAAGGTAGTCCAGAGGTATCCAATTTGCACTTCCAACTATTGTTATCAAATCACTCTTACATCAAACCGAATGAATCATTTTAAGATAATATAACATTGCACCACAGAAAACACTAAACCAACAATCACTACGTCCGCTATTTTATCTTTGAGGTGCTACTTCTATAATCCCTAACATTATTTCTCATTATATGGCCTAGAAAATCACACATCATTTTCAATATTTGCATTGTCAAATATATGAGAATTCTTTATCACTCAACACTCAGGACCATACAAAAAAAAGGAAATATGATCACAATTTTATATTATAAACATTATCTTTGTGTCATAACAATATTAGTTTACCATAAAGTAGTCCAAGTCACTTTTTCATTTTAACAGCTCAACTTTAATTTTAAATTAGTAAAACCGAAGTTAAGGATGCTTTATAGAAAATGAAGCGTGAAAAAGCTTATGGACATTATGATTTTCCAATAGAGCTGTGAAAATGTTTAGGAGATAAAGGAATTTCTTGGCTTACGTAACTTTTTAATATTATTTTGAAGACTACAATGTCAAATGAGTTGAGGAGTGTAATGGTTTCTATTTTTAAGAATAACATTGATACATAAAAGTGAATTATAGAGGAACTAAGTTAATGTGTCATGCATTAAAATTATAGGAGAGAGTTATTAAGCATACATTACAACATGATGCTAATGTTTCTCAAAATCAATTTAGATTCACGTCGTGGGGGTCAACTATGGCAGCTATACATTTATTGAGAAGTTTGATGGAGAAGTATAGAGAGAATAAGGAGAATCTTCGTATTGTATTTATTGATTTAGAGAATACATATGATAAAGTTCTTAGAGAGAAGTGCTCTAAAAAGTTCTAGAAAATAAAGGAGTTTGCTTATATTCAAGTCATTAGGATATGTATGCATGTGTTGTTACTTGTGCTTAAACACAAGGTGGTTTGACCAAGTATTTTCCTATTTTAGTTGGATTACATCAAGGATCAAATTTAAGCTCATACCTTTCTGTTTTAGTCATGGATGTCCTTACAAGACATTTGCAAGAGGATACATCCTAGTGTATTCTTTTTCCTGATGATATTCTTCTTGTTGATAAGACTAGAAAGGGAGTTGAAGGAAAACTTGAATTATGGAGGTAAATCTTAGAGTCTAAAGGTTTTAGGTTAAATAGATCTAAAACCGAACGCATGGAGTGTAATTTGAGTAGTAATATATCTAGTTGGGGGATTGTGATTATGGGCAATCAAGTCATAAAAAAGAGTACACGTTTTAGATATCTTGAATCTAATGTTCAAAGTGATGGTGAAATCTATAGGGATATTATTAGTATAATTCAAGTTTGATGGTTTTAAAGTGTAGGAATGCATCAAGCTGTTCTGTGATAGAAAAGCACCCCTCAAACTTAAGGGAAAATTCTATAAAATGGTAGTGAGAGCTGTGATGCTTTTGGCATAGAATATTAGTCATTAAAAGAGAAGCATAAAATTAAATTAAGTGTTGCAGAGATGAGGATGCTCAGGTGGATGAGTGGCTTCACTCTAAGAAACAAAATGTGAAATGAGTATATATGTGAAAAGGTTGGAGTACCTCCAACAGCACGTAAGATTAAAGAGAGTAAGTCACCTTAGATAGTTTGGTCACATAAAAGTTGGGCTTGATGCCCTTTATAAAAATTCCCTCCATGACCACTTCTAAAATTCCCCTCAACCGTCCAAACAACAACTTGAATTTCTCTCCTTATTCCATGATGGTCCCCTCCTGAGTCAAGGCAATGAATTGCCGTGTAGGTCTCCTTCCCGAATTGCTCAAAAACATTACAACAAGCAATCCTTAAACTCCTCCCACAAGCAGATCAGGTATCTAGCCTCTCTATATTGGAATCTAGCAAAAGCTTTCCTCTCTAAAAATAACTCTGCGTCTGTAAGCTTTTCCTCCTCTCTTAACTCATTCACCGCAAAGTACCTCTCCACCTGATATACCCACCCATGGGCATCTTCCCCTTCGAACATCGGAATCTTCAACTTCCTCACATTCGCTTCTCCACCCCAACTTCTTCTCTCGCCGATAGTTCCCACCGTGTATTGAGGGTGGGCATCCCACCTTTATTCCATCAGTCTCCCATGACCCGATCCCAATGGCTCGGCTCGACCACCTCCCTCTCCAGTTGTCCACTATCCTTGCCCAAACAGCCTTCGATGGTGGTTGGTCTTCCTACCACCTCCTCCATAAATCCCACCATACAACTCTCTTCCTGCTGCCCCCCCCCCCCCCCCCCCACCACCCCCATCCCCCCCTCCCTGCGCCCCCGCACAGCCTTATCGGAGCCCTAGAAGGTAACTCTTAATGAAAGGAACTCTACAGCTCCGATCTCTTTTCACTTTGATCCGGCCACGGGACCCCCGGTCAAATCGTGGTGAGGATTAGTTATTAGAACTGTCGGTGAGGCTTGGGGTCGCATCTACATAAGCTTTTTTTTCATCTCTTATATCCCTCCTAATCAGCTCTCCCCGATTTTCCATAGTTGAAAATATTTCCTCCATCCCGGATTTGATTTGCTCCACTTCCCCTTCCAACGCCTCCATCTTTTTTGTTGTCCTATCTCCCAAAATCTCACTTTGATACCAATTTGATACGCCTTGGAGACAAAAACAGCAAAACACAATGGAAAAACTGCAAAAATATGAATATAGATGGCTGATTTTTTATTATAATGTCAATAAAAAAGAAATATACAAGCGATCTAGAATTTGAGGGATAGATCGACTCTTCCAAACAACCTAGACGCCGCTAGGAAGCCCTCACGAAAAGAAAACTATAGCAACTCCCAAATAAAATTATGCATAAACAAACCAAACCCTAAACTTAGCCTTAAATAAGCTTCTCCTATTTCCCTCCTAAATCCCCCCCAATCCCCCTCCTAATATATTTCCCTCTCTAATTTGAATTTCAATTAGGAAAACCTTCCTAATTAATCTTTTCCTAAATCAACCCCCCTTTCCTAATATATTTCCCTCTCCAATTTAAATTTCAACTAAAAAATGCTTCCTAATTGATCCCTTAATTCCTCTCCTAACATATGCAATGATAGGCTTAATCGGCCTCACAAGGGGGCTCAACTCCCTTGCCCTTTCTGTCCCAGGCTTGCTGCCCTCTCTCGTATCACACATCAGATAAACCCTTACCCTTAAAATATACCGTTTGTCAAGCAAATTAAAAAAAAAATGCAAATGAATTAATTCTATTAAGATAGTCAATATGCCTACAAAGAAGATATTTGATTGAGAACACTACATTCTTTAAATAAAAGACACTATAGTCAAAATATAAGTTTCAGATTCAATTTGGGTTTATCATTGCAGTCCCATTGAGAAAGCTTCAATTTCAATGGTTTCAACCATTTTGGCACTAAAAAATCAGTTTCAATTTCGCTGTTTTAAATATTGAATTAAAGATTGCAAGTATTCTCTCATCAAGACCAATTCAACAATTAAAATACTTCAGGAAGCCCTAAAAAAAAGTAGGAACAAACAATTATAAAAAACCAAACCCAAATTAGGGTTTGGCATTTATGACTGCATAACATTTTCCTAATATTTTGAGAATTATTGCTACATGGTTAGCTAAAAAAAAATAGTTCCAGGGCACAGATTTTCAAATTCAGGCTATGGAAGACCCAGAAACGTTTCATCAACCAGATACATTAAACGGAGAGAATTTAGATTGAGAAATAAACATTATCAAAATAAAGAGAAAAGGCAGTTAAAACAAATTTTCATCCAACAAAATAAAAATCACAGGCATAATATACAAAGGAAATCGCTAAAACAAATATAAAGCACATTATGTTCTAACCTGGCTTGATGGTGTAGCAGTGGTTGTTGAAGATGCACCCGATGAACCCTTATCCTTAAAACATACAGTTTGTAAAAGTAAGGAAATAAACCAGCACAAAAGAATTAATTCTAAACAAGATTTAAGACAGACTGCGCGCCTATAGAAAAAATTTGGATTGAGAACACTCCATTCTTTAAATAAAAGAAGCTACTGTCTAAATATAAGTTTCAGAGTCAATATAGGTTATAGCCATTTTGGTCCCACAGAAAAACCTTCAATCTCAGTCGTTTCAACCATTTTGGTGTTCAATTTCGACTGTTTTTATTATTAAATTAAAGAATTTAAATATTCTCTCATCAAGACCACTCAACAATTATCAAAATACTTCAGGAAGTCTACAAACAAAAGAAGGAACAAACAACTTCAAAAATCTAAAATCCAAATCAGGGTCTGATGTTTCTGAATACATCCATTTCCCTAACACTTGAAAGTTATTGATAATTGCATGGCTTGATTGAAAAGATAGATCCAGGACACAGAATTTCAAATGCAGATCATAGATGACCCAGAAATATTGCATCAACAAAATAAATTCAACAGAGAAATTTTATATAAAAAAATAGATATTATCAAAATAAAGAGAAGGCAGTTCAAGCAAAATTTCATCCAAGAAACTAAACCTTGCAGTGTAGAACATAGAGTTGATGAATCGGAACAATATAAAGCACGTTATGTTCTAACCTGGCTTGATGGTGTAGCATTGGTTGTTGAAGCCCCACTTGATGTACCCTTGCCCTTAAAAGATACAGTTTGTCAAGCAAAGAAATAAACCAAAGCAAAAGAATTAATTCTAAACAAGATTTAAGATATTCCGCATGCCTACAAAAAAGAAATTTTGATTGAGAACACTCCACTTTGTGAAAACTTCAATTTCTGTGGTTTCAACCACTTTGGTGCTCAACTTCAGCCTCAATGTTGGCTGTTTTTATTATTAAATTAGAGATTTTAAATATACTCTCTTTTTTTATAAATATAAAAATAATAATAATTTCTAAGATATTAAACAGCTTGTGGACCTATACTATGCTTGTCGTGAATCTCAATGATAACTAAAATGTTTCAGTGTCACAGTATGGCACCCATATGCTCAAAAAGCCAGCAGCAAAAAATGGTGCCTACCAAATAACAGGTGTACTTTTAACTATTTTATACATTGCAAATTACAAAAATTCAAATAATGTCTCATCAGTATAAATTCTATGCATTTCATATATAATTTGAAACAGATATTCATTTGATGCTCTAAATTATCAGTATACAGATAGTTCATAAAAAATATTATTTATATTTATAAATTGTAGATTATTGCATACTAAGTTTTCTATACTTTATCATGAATTAAATATATTAATTGAATGCTAACCCTGCCATAAATTTTGGGAGAGTTTATTCAAAAAAATTTTAAGCATAAACTCTATATAAGAGAGACTGATTTATCTAGAAGACAAATAATATTTATGACAGTTTGCGGTTGGAACATTGTCTGATAATCTCTTTATTGATTTTGTTTTTGTTTCAATTTCTCAATTTCCATGGATGTGAGGGAATGGAAGAGAAGAGTTTATGGTTGGAAGAATTAATGCAAAACAGTGTGTGCCATTTACGCTGGCGTCATTCCTCATGCATGGCGCAAATAGCGCACGCTATTGTGATGCTCCACACCGCTCCAAATAAATAGCATTGTATGTGTGCCACGCTGCGGCATGCACCATGTGCCATTGGCATTTATGTGATTGACTAAGAGCATAAACCTTTAGAATTTTTTTTAGTTAGATCCAATTTAATTCACTATCATTACAAATGATTTTCAATAGTTTGGAGTAGTTTGATTTGCCATATATGATATAAATTGATGAGTCATTAAAACATCTAAAAGATTTTAGAATATTACAAACATTTTTGTATTTACATATTTATTCTAATTGTCAATCTTTAGATTCTATTTGCCAGATGTTCAAACTTTCTAACATCTATAACAAGATATGTTTCAACATAAGGATCATTTTAAAAAGAAAAACCAGCAAGTGTTCAATAGTCATATTTAGTGTTGACCCCTGGACCGAAAAAAAAAAAGAAAAAAAAATCAAATCACTTACCTGCTCGCACGTCGTGGCCATCCCGCGCACGATCGACGTCGCAGCCGCCACGACTTCGCACGACTCACCTCGCATCGTTAAATGCCAATGAAAAGGAGGCCTTCGGGCTCTTCTCCCAAGCCCGCTCACTCTCTTTCTCTCTCGCTCTCGCTCTCTCCCCTAACGACATTCCCTCCCTGTCCAGTCGGAAATCACGACAGTTTTATCGAAGGCAAGAACGCCCCCCCCTCTCCGGCGTCATTCCTTCCTGCTGGACTAAAAGTTATAACATTTTGTTCGGAAGGAACAACATGAGCTCGCAAACTGTGAAGGTAACTTCTCTCCTTCATGCGCTTCTTCGGCCTAATCCCATAAGTTAGCCGAAACAGAGAAGAGAGGGAGGGCTTTAATCTATTATAATTACCATTAATTATATTCAATTATTATTTAATTATAATTATAATTAATTTTTAATTATAATTAATTAATAATTGTTGATTAATTATAAATTATAATTGTGATTAATTAATAGTTAGTGAACAATTATTAATTATAATTATTTTTATAATTAACTTTAATTATAATAAGAAAATGCTCGCCTCATCACCTGCCCCGTTCCGTGCTCTCCACTGCCGACCCGCAAAGGTATGAACTCTCCAAAACTCAGATTCCCTACTTCAATGTTTGTGGCGGACCGAAAAACCGCCCATGCACGCCTTTATTGCATGTGGTGGGATGGGCCCCGGTGCGGCGCCTACGACGTAGCGTATAATCACCTAAAAACCCTACTTCAATATTCGTGGCTCGTGGCGGACCGGAAAACTGCCCATGCACGCCTTTATTGCGCGTGGTAGGATGGGACCCTAGTGCGGCACCTAGGCGAGGCGGGCTCACTCATAAGTACCCCCGAGCGGGGGGAAAGCAAACTGTCTTTTTAAACATGTACCATCAAAGACCTCATGCACGTCTTTATTGCGCGTGGTGGGAAGAAAGATCACGGCCGCGGTGTCCTCGTCCAAGGACACCTACAATGCACGCCTTTATTGCGCGTGGTGGGAAAGGCCCAGTTTTCCGTAGTTTTCTCCTAAACGGGAGAGATGCCGGGAGGCTGCCGAAATTTCGGGTAAAAAACATACTGTACTCAGACCTGTTTGAACTCAAAAGAACAAGCATTGGGACTCAAATAAACAACAGTGGACAATGACTTGTGGACTTTTGAACTTGATTGAACATGAGAAGGGGACCTGAACAAAACCTAAATGATTTCTAAAGTTCAAATTCAAATAAAATGAAATCAAACTTGAACCAAAATTCAAATCATTTGAACTTGAAAATGAGCTTGCAAAGATTTCATAAATTGTGGACATAGCACTTGAACTTGTAAGCATTTGACTCAAATTCAAATGAAATATAATGTGCAATTAAACTCAAAAGGAGAGCAAGGAACTCAAATTGAACTCAAGCTGGATCCAAACTTGGCATGAGCAATAAAGGACCTGAATTTTCAAGAATAATAGAGGATTCAAGGAGTTTGAGATTGAATGGGATGCAAATAGTTGAACCCATAACAACATACAAGACTCAAGCATGAGTTGAACCTTGAACTCGGGTCCGATGGAACACATAGGACTGGGCTTTGGATGAATGAACAAATCAGAGTCTAAATGCACAGTTGTCCAAGCTAACAACAAGTCGCAAGTGGGAGATGAAATTCCAGTATACGCGAAAGCTGAATGAAACGAACTCCTACAATGATCCTTACGAGGTTAAATGCAACGTGCTCACAAGGACAACAAGTGGTTGCATGATGCATGTCCCCCAAATTCAATATTGAAACCTCCAATGCTAGCAACATTGCTTGTAGACTGAGATGGCAATACCGGCATTCAGTAGCGGAGGACCGTCCCCTGTAAACAAGTACAATCAACAAAACCACCTGAGATTGGTGAAAGGTGGATATGATGCAGAAACAATGACTCTCATGCGAACACTACCAAGATGTCGTAGTGGATATAACGATTCCCTGCAAATGAATTCTTGTGGATAACAACAGTGAATATATCGTAGGTACAACGAACCACTGTGGGCAGAAATACATATATCACCTACAACGACGGTGACCAAGATATCCAAGTACGTCGGGTACAAGGGCAACCCGATGTATGAAAAAGGGACACCCCCTGATAGAATGGAAGAAATGTTTGAACAAATTAGAACTAAACTTCATGGTGTTCCAAAGTTTCTTCTTGGTTTTATAATTAAGAAAAAAATAGTTCTGGTGTCCACAAACACCGAAAATAACAAGTCTACTATATTGATGATCCTGAAAAGAGTCCCTTTTAAGGTAGCAGTCACTGATTTCAAAGTCCAGAAGAACCCTCCCCGATGAATGAGAAAAGGGGAGTCAACATCAAGATAAAGAGATGCTTCATAACATAAGGACCATACCGCCACCGGGTCCGCAACACTCGTACTAGCGGACATAAAGCGTATATAAAGGGAAAAATACAATCTCAACCCGCATGGGCCCCGACAAGCGTGTTATTGATACACACGTGACGTCTAGGGATGCTACGCGGGTTAATAAGTCAATTCTAATTCGAACTCGATCCTTCTATACGGATCAATAGGAGTCGACAGAGTTCAAACCTTCAAACGAATACCCGGTTATGGCGACCAGTGTATTTGTTTTAATACATTTATATTAAGCATTCAAGGCTTATAACCAAGAGAATTCACTAACAAATGCACGAAGCCTACGAAACCCGATCCTCCTAAGCAAATAAAGAGGAGTAGACAGTGTTCAAACTCTCGGATAAATATACAATCACGAATGTGATCGGAATATTTGTTTTATCCATTATATTAGGCCTTCAAGGCCTTTAACAAAAAAAATTCACAAATAATGGATGGAACAAAGCCTATGAAATCTGATCCCCTATCGGCGAGTTGATAAGGTTGACAGGGTTCAATCAAATGGAAATGACCCCAAACACCCTGATGATGGCCGTGTTGAACGATAATCTCAACCGGAGGAGTTAACAAATATTTTCAAATGCCACCCAAATGTTCATTCAAAATTCAAAACTCCATAAAGTCCAAAACTCAACAAATCCCAAATATCAAGATATTTAAATTTGAAATTCAATTATCAAACACTTAAAGCAAAATCCATTCACACTCCGCAACAGTTTGTTATGGTGGACAAATTAAAGTTTACTTTAGCTCACAAAGAGCCAAATGCCTAGTCGAAAATATCACTAGAATCCATTCTCAAACAATCTCCTGCCAGTAAGGACGTGATACGTGTCCTCTAACCGGCGATTTTGCCGCCAAGTGGCATCGCAGGATAAACGATTATGACCCGGGGCCCTCTAAACCGAGTGGTTTTGCCATCAAATGGCACCTCGAAATATCGGTTATGACCAGAGCCAATAAGCTCCTTAGTGGAATCAAATCCTTGAGATATGAATCAATATGATATGATTGATAGGGCACAAAGCCCTCTGTTAGCTAAGGTGGATTCAAATTTGTTCCTTTAGGCAAACATTCAACCCAGGTCTACAAGGTCCCCTTGGACGAAGCAACCCATGGCTGCCGACAAGGATCCTTCTGTCAAGTTGGGTCGACTACCTCCTCTGACTAAATAGACCAAGGACCACGA